GTATCGGTTGGGTGGTTTCGTGGCATGGTTTTAGTTGGCATTTTATCAAACACCTGTTGCGCGCCTGCCATATTTTCGAACCGTGGCGTCAGGGGTCCCACAGCAGGTCTACGATGTGCCCTTTGATGATGCTGAGGCCACGCCCAGCACCCTGCCCGGCGTCATAGTGCCTCCGATGAGTGGCTTTGCCCAGCAGGCCGAGAAGGAAGAGCTGGGCATGGCGGAGACCTCCATGGCGGCCGATCATGCCCTTCTCTACCAAGCGCTGCTCCCTGTCCTACCTGTGCGGTCGCCGGTCGCTGTCCGTGGCCTCCTGGCCTGACCGCTCACACGATTGGCCGTATGGTGTCGCCGCCTAGTCGTTGTCCAACAGGTGAGCAGGACAGCACCACCACACCACGCTGGGAGGAGTACCTGCGTACAACACGCGGGTTGCGATCGACCCGTCACGAACTCGAGGGTCACCAGGGTGTCCATGGGCAACCTCATGCATGACACTATCGGCTGCTACTGGGCGAATCCACGTCTAGGCTCGACTTTGGCTGTCCGCCTTCGCTCTCTGCACCGTCGAGGTGCTCAAGGACATGCTTCTCGAGCTCCAGGCATATGCGGCTGAGGCACGGGCTCCTCTCCCGACGAGAGTCTGGGCGTGCAGGACGACAATTCCATCATCGACGACTGCCTTCGCTATGCTGGCGGGTCGTTTACGTGTGTTGCTTGTGAGCGTGTTTCAATCCGGCGAAAATTTATCTAGTACGGAGCTAGCTAGCATCCTTGTGAATCGACCCAGCACCTCTACTGTACGCACGTGTTGTCTTCCCGCCGAAACCAAGCTAGCTTCGGTACTACATACGCAATCAAGACGGAAAGTGCTGCAACCGAGACCAGCTAGCTACGCCTCCTCTGTGTCGCCGGCGGCGCTCAGGCGTGATGCTATTGCCGGGATGAGCTGCTGATCGAGGAGGTACTGCAGCCCTCCGGCCGGCGCCCGTTGCCGCGAGTTCCTGCACGAGCGGTGGCTCCACGACGTGGCAGTCAAACTGTGTGACCAGGCGGTCAAACCTGTAATGTGTCTGGTTTTACTCAAAACCATGTCCACGTCAGCACAAAAACCACCCAAGCGACACGAGGGACTGAACTTAACCGGTTTTAAAAATTGAGGGACTAAGATTTACTGGTTTGAGAGTTGAGGGACCATTTTTATACTTTTGAGAGAATTGAGGGACGAAAAATATACTTATCCCATAAGGACAGCTCCTGTCCTCTGTGCGTGAGAATGTAAAGCTGCAACTTCTGGCCCAGATGTTGTCTTTGCCGTCGTTCAGTGTACTTGTTGGCATCGCCTACTGTTCACGATCTTTTTCAAAATTTCTCCTTTTAAAACCGTAGCTGATGCGCTTGACAGACTACATGAACTTCTTTGCCTCCGTTCTCACAGTCTGTGATGGACGGTCAAAGGTTCATTGTTTTGTTTTTTCTTTTTGATTGATTGATGAGTAAAAATTCAGTGTATTGGTTATGTTGGGCTGCCTCAGTCTGCAGATGGGAGCAAACCCACGATAGGCCCGCAATAAAATGGATCGGACTAGAAAAAGTGGGCAGGCCATCTCACGTTAGGCCCATCCTTTTCGAAAAAAAAAAAGTTGCAAATCCCATGGAGACGCTTCCGGAGACTGCCTGGTGGGGACGGACTCCGCGCAACTGCCTCTCGAACGGACTCGTACGTTCTGTTCAGCTCGCGCTTGAGCTGAACCGTGACGTAACCGAGCCGTTCTCCTGTTCGGGACGAAGGAATTTTACGGGAATTGTGGTGGTTTCCTTTCCTTCGGTATTTTTTTCTTTAGGAGCGTTCGGTACAAAGAAAACAACCCAACCAATTCAAAAGGAAAGGCTTTTTAACCTGAGCTTTTCATGGGAACTAAAACATCCGCCAGAATCTCATTTTTCGCGTAGGCCCGAGGCAAACTGGCGCAGTGTAGGAGTACTGGATTTGACATGTCTCGCTCCAGAAGTGGGGTAGACCTGGTTTACATGGACCATGCATGGACCTGTGTTGCTCAAACGATGGTGGTGCATGTGGTCTATGTTCACATGTAACAACGATTCACCCAGTCGCAGGCACAGCAGGTTGTCCTTGATTTTTTAATCCAGCCATAAGCGCATTCTATCTCCTGTACAACTACACTGGCTTCCTGCGTTCCCAGCACCACTAGTTAAAAAAATTCCTCCAATTTCAAGAAAATCCTCCGCGACACAAAGGGTGTGTTTGGTTGCCTGGGTGCCTCTAGCCTGCATCGCATGAGGGATGCTGGCTGATCGTGGCCTAGTTGAGGTGATGCAAGGATGAGCTGAGATTGGTGTCTGGTGGACTGTATGAGATTGCTGCTCGAAACATGTTGTATACGGCATATTTTGTTTGGTAGGCTGCACTGGTGACTAATTCTGTTAACTCTTCTCCTTCAATTTTAATCATTTCAATTGGATCTGGACCATTCCATGGACAGAGAAACAAGTAAAACAAATCTAAACTAAAATCTGAACCCAAACTGTCGGATGAAGTGCACGCAATGTCACCGTCCAAGGGAGACGTCTCTGGTAGATCGTAGATGGGGCCATGGGAAGGAGATGATCGTGGCGGGGATGGACCAGCCAGAAAACATTCCGGCGCCGGAGATTCGATTGCAGCAGCTGTATTGGCGGCGGTGTCGCGGTTCAAGAGCAGAGATGGGGGAGAAACATGACGCCGGTTGCAGTTCGCGGCGCGCAGGTGCTCCCCTCTCCCTGATCCCCCTTCTTCCTCTCTGCCCGTGGCGGGCGGCGTGGCGAGGTCCGGCGAGCTCGTAGGCATGCGCGCGTGCGCGGGCCGATGGCAGAGTTCGGTGGTGGTGGACCCTGATGTTGTCGTCCTCCGGCGAGGGCGTGGAGGAGCGCCGGCTACGTCGTCCTCCGGCGAGGGCGGGAAGGAGCGCCGACGAGGGCGGGGAGGAGGGCCGGTGGCGGCGTCCTATGGCGAGGGCGGCGGCGTCGGTGGGAAGAAGATAGGAGACAATGGGGTCGAGAGCGAGGCGAACAGGCAAGGACGAGCCTGCACGAGAGAAACGCTCGGATCCTGCGTTCCTCTTAGCCTGGCTGAGAGGCCTATTTTTGCATCGCCTGGGCCAGGCTAAGGAGGCCATGCAGCAAACCAAACATGGGCTATTTTGCATCCGAAATGCGAGCCAGGTGCGAGCCACCCATCCAAACACGCCCAAAGCAATCGATCCTTAGCTCTCGCGATCCTCTCTCTGCGTCAAGGTATGCGCCCGCTATCGATTCCCCCTTTCCCCCAAGCTATCTGGATTTTGCATATGTGCGATCCGTTGACTTGGTCAACGCGATGAGAGAATGAGCTCGTAGAAGCAACAGCAATTTCCGTAGATCCGTGTAGCTTGGTGGAATTTGGTGTACCCACGTTCATGTTTTTGTTCATAATATGCCAGTAGATTAATAAAACATCGAGCTGTTGTTGGTGTATGCGCTCCTGATCAATTTTTTTGGTCTAGATTCCAATCTAAGGAAATTGCTGTCCCGTGATGGTTATCTAGAGTTGAACTAGAGTTGTTGATTGGATACTTTCATCGATTAGTGCTGGGCATACTGTTGTAGATTCTTGTTTATTGATGCATCTGATTATTCCTCCTCTGGTTCATGATCTGCCTCATTGTTATTCAATATCTGCTTTACTCTTTCTGCAATTTTGCACTTAATTCAGCATCTGTTGTTTGCCTTGAGCTGCAGTTAGATCGGCTTGTTATAAAAATCTGCTTAATTTAAATTGGAAGTTAATCCAACGGTTAGGTTATTCTCTTCCAGTCCGTCTTCGATGTACTCATACACACGTCTATACGTGGTTCCTGTGCTGATTTTATTTGTAACATTCAGCTGCAGAATTTTTTATCGTAAGATTTAGACAATCTCATTTAACTGTTTTGTGACTCTGTTTGTCTCTTCATATACAACCCTACCATGCTGACTTATCTTGCTTTGTAAGTATTAATTTATATAAACTGGAAATACTACTCCCTCGGTCTCAAATAAGTGCCTCATTGTTTCAAGAGTAATAATTTCTATAAACCGAAGTTGAGACAGTTATCTTGGGACTGAGGGAGTAGATCATAAGAGTTAGATATGCTTCTGTTCTTGTTTGCTCTGAGGTTTTTATTTAGAGTGAATTCCATTTTTTACCTTGTAGTTGTACATTTGTGACACATATTACCCTATTTAGCGGAACTTTTATCGAAATGTCAGATTTTGGAGACTTTTACCACGGTTTTACCCCAGTTTTACATTTTGTCTGTTTATGGTCGATAGGATCGGCATGTTGCGTCATTGATTTGTAAAAAAAACTGTAAGGATCGGAGGGCATCATTGGCGATCTTGTCCAAGCTTCTCTTGTCTATCTGTTCCACTCCTTGTGGCCGTCCACATGTTTTTGGATACAGAGCGTCACCTCACACCTTACCTGATGGACACGCATCAAAAAACAAGGGTCCAAAGATTTCAAAAGGGGTATTCTAGACGAATTTCCACTCGAAGGGGTAATTAGTGTCACAAATGTATAAATATGGGGTAAAAAGTGGAATTCACTCTTTTATTTATCATATTTACTATCTATCAGAAACGTATAAGATTGCAGTGTTTCATTGCTTTGTTCATCTGTTCTTACACTTTTAACTTGGTGATTTAGCATGCATGGTTTCAAGTTGCCCTGTATGCATATCTATTACCAGATTTAGATTATCAGAGTCTTTGTTTCATAAATTTATTGATCTGTTCATATGCATGTCTAACTAGGCTACTTCTTTCCACTTTTGTTTGCAGATGCAGATCTTTGTGAAGACCCTCACTGGCAAGACCATCACGCTTGAGGTTGAGTCATCTGACACGATTGACAATGTAAATCCCACCGGATCAGCAGCGGCTCATCTTTGCTGGCAAGCAGCTTGAGGATGGGCGAACACTTGCTGATTACAATATCCAGAAGGAATCCACCCTCCATCTGGTGCTCAGGCTCAGGGGTGGCATGCAAATCTTTGTGAAGACCCTCACCGGCAAGACCATCACCCTCGAGGTTGAGTCTTCCGACACGATCGATAATGTCAAAGCGAAGATCCAGGACAAAGAGGGCATCCCCCCAGACCAGCAACGGTTGATCTTTGCCGGCAAGCAACTTGAGGATGGACGCACTCTTGCTGATTACAACATCCAAAAAGAATCCACTCTCCACTTGGTTCTCCGTCTCCGTGGTGGCATGCAGATATTTGTCAAGACCTTGACCGGCAAGA